ATAACCATTGTTGAAGAACAAGTTTTAGTTCAAGAATTTTTTTTTAACAACTTTTAAATGATTTACTCTTGATTATGGGTCCTTTTGCTTGAGTTCCCATAAATTACGATCAGTAATTATGGCTTTTGCATTTAAGTAGAAGAACAGCAGCGAATATCGAGTCTTTTTCTAAATTCTGTTGCTGTCACTGACAAATTTTAATGATTTTTACTCTCTCTATTTTATTTTATTGTTTTTTATATTATATATTGCAGGACAGTCGTGTAATTCCTGACAAATTAATAAGTTCCATACCGCACGAATAAATTCAAAAAGGCAGAGAGAGAGCGTGAAAGAATCTGCGCTAAGGGACAATGGAATATTTTTCGTTTACCACTAATTATTGGTTTCATTGTAAAATTCCATTGTTTTTTGTCGTTTAATTGCTTCACTGCTTTTTATTGTACCAAAAAAAAAAAAAAAAAAAAAAAAAAAAAAAAAAAAAAAANTGAAGGACATTTGTTTCTAAATTAGAATTTCACTTGACTAAATGGCATGTAATTGACCATTTACTGTGTCAGTTCAATTATTTTCTCGCAAGAGCGTTGGTGGTCACAAAAGTTTTACTGCTGAAGAGAATTATTTACAAGAACTTAATTCTTTAGACTCATTCACATTACCGCATTTTCTCCGTTTTATTCACTACTCATACATAGATACGTAACTAAAATCATTGGAACTTTAGTAAATTGTCTGTAAATCGAATTCAAAGTTTTTGAATTATTTATTAGTAATCCTATGCTTAGTCATGCTCGTCGAAATCACTTCACGGAGGGTCTTCAAAACTGTTGTGGTGCAACTCAGTCAGAGAGACAACTTGTTTATGTGTAATGAAATAATTTTTCTGTGTGTGTAAATGTAAGAGCAGGATAGTAATTTGCCTTCTGTGCTGAAGATGAGTCAATTGAATTTATAAACTTTTTTTTTATTTTCATATTTTATTTTACTATTGTTTTTTTTAGGAGTGAAATACATATCTGTTATACATATACAGGGTTTTCCAATACAAAGTGTTATTTTGATATTCAAAGAAAATTGACATTTTTTGGTAGACATGATCGGCTGTTTATTTCAATAATAATGGAAAACTATATAAGTCAAATGGCCGCTACGGCTACGCTTACAGCGCCGTATACTTTTTATGAAATTTTCCATCACCAAATCGCCAAGTAGCTGTTGTATGCCCTCAATAGTTTTACAGATTCTATCCTTGAGGCGTAGATCTTATCTTTCACGTGGCTTCAATGAAAGAATTTCGAAGGTGTTAACGATCACCTCTTCGGGAGATAACACGGACCGGAAACTTTTCCCATACAAGATCGATGGTTTCGTTAATTGTGTGGCACGCAGAGCCGTCTTCTTGTAAATAAACATTATCCAGATCAATACGATCCGATTCCGGTCATAAAAAATCATTATTCATCTCTCTATAGCGCAATCCATTCGCCATAACTGTTGCTCCAGCCTCATTTTCGAAAATGTATGGACCAATGAGCCGTCTGAACATAAGTCGCACCAAACAGTTACACGGTGGGTATGGAAAGGCTTTTTAATAATAAGTCTTGGCTGGAAATGGTCCTCTTCAGTCATAATGATTTTTTGATGAAATTCTGGGTAATTTTCAAGCATTTCAAGGACACAATTGGCATAGGCACGATCGGCCGGCTTGAGTTCTGGTGTTTACTGAATTTCATTTTGTTAAGGGTGAAAGTTAGAAATGATTGAGTTGGAGTCAATAAAGTTTTGGTAAATCATGACTACCAAGAGTTCAGGAATGTGAATGGATTAAGTGGAATGACAATGAAAAAATCGAAAACATCAATTGCTGAGCAGCACGTCTCAAAAACCAAAGAAAGGGGAAAGAAGAGGTGGAAATGGATTTTTTGTGCTTAGTCCCAAATTTCGAATTTCGCGTCCTCCCAAAAACAACTATTTTTTTTTGTTATAGAAAAACCAGAGTGAGACTGCATTGCTTTTCCGTAAGTGTTTCTCCAACAAATTCTCAACTCGCATTGCTCACTACCGTATTCGCCAGTGCTGGCTAGGTATGACTTCTGCTATTCAACAAGCTCAAAAGATCGCTCCGCAGATTGAACGAGAATCGAAAGATTTGAAGGCCATTGGGGCCAATGAATATGGAATATGCTTTGAGAATTGGAATGACTACTTTAATGGCGATGGAATAGGTTTGGAAGAATAAATATATATTTGGAAAGTTTAAAAAAGTCGTCTTAGAAAATTTCCCTGAACTGAAAAAAAAAATATATATTTTCTCAGATCTTTGCGCAATTTTCTTAGCAATTTGGTACGAACATTTCAGATAAAAATATATATTTTTTTTATCAGGTGTACAACTTTGCTTCCGCCGTTTTCCGATAGGTGGCTATACCGGCTGAGGCTGGTTGAAATACATAGATGATAATGCCTTTAAAGTCAGTGTGGACAGTGCATAACGAATTGTCATCGCCGTTTCAGTGACAGTTGTTCTTGTTTTCGTATTATTCACGCTCGAAAATGTCCGTTTATGTGCCTAATTCTCGCCATTTGCGGGAAGTTTTACTTTTC